AGGAATGTCAAATCTGTTGTCGGTGACTCTATCAAAGAGTAACTCCTCTTCTGCAAAAAAAATAGAAAGTCAGGTTTGAGATAGAAAACATAATTCTGAGAGAGAGAGAGAGAGAGAAACAGAGATAGAGAGAGAGAGAGAGGAATGCACAGAGCTCCATGTAGACTGCACAATGAAACTTGAATTTAGTGAGCTTCTACTGGATCAGTTTTGTTTGGCTTCTGCACCCAACCACTCTATCCCGCCACTCTATTGAGCAATTTCTTCTTTCCCTCTCTACCTAGCTGTGTAAGTTGGAATTCTCATTCTCAGTTTTCCATAAAGAGCAACAGTGGGTCATGCATCTATGCTGAACAGGACTTGATCTCTTTAGTTCCACCAAGGATTAAAACAATTTCGTGAACACTGACAGGCACATTTGTTGTATTCACTGTGCATCTCTCTCTCTTCTTAGCTCGGTCTGTAAAGAGTGATTACATCTTGCTCAGGTCAGATCTACGCCTCCTCAAGTTGTTTCCCAACCACCGAAGAAGACCGAAGAAGAACTGTGTTTTAGGGCGGCACCCGAGAATTTATGGCACCCGGCGTGACAACTGGAATCATAGCACATCTCTCAGCAGGCGACAGTAATGAAGCCAGTGGTGGAGTCTGGACCAGCCTGTTTTTGAGCTGCTGCATCATTTGATTAATGCAGGCTGGAAAAAAAAATGTCCTTTGCATCCACAGTTTACCTTTACTGCACCTCTGTTTTCACTTTCTGCATAATAAAGAAATGTATATAGAGCTGATTTACAGTAGTTAACTGATCTGTTTTGAGTTGTCTTGTTTATGACACACTGTTAATATGGAAAAACCTTTACATTGTTTTTTCTTGGCTTTTAAAGGCAATCTCTGTCTGTAACTCTATAATACTGCAAAGTAATGTGGCAATGATTAGGGCTGGCGAAGGAGGTTCTACTGAAAAAGAAGAGCTCAGAGCGACTTATTAGAAAATAGAAGAAATCAACTACCCATGTGTTTGTATTTAATCCCATATGTGTCACACGGCTTAAACTTTTAGTGATGTCTGCGACAATGCATCCTGCAAAGAACCTACGTCAGTGGCTTGTCAAAATCCAAGATGACGATATTTGTGACACATGCTGCGTTTCAATTTGCGTATACGTTCATACTCACACTTGCTGTTTTGACCGCATAAATGTGTTCACACTGACAAGTATGGCAACATAAAGTGCACTCCAAGTGAACTCAAGACAGTCAAAACACATGGGACACTTTTCCCCCTCAATGGTCTCCATCTTGGCTATAGCAAAAGGGGAGGGACCAGAAACGTATTTTCAAACAGCAGCTGAAGAAGAAGGACGCATTGTTGGTGCTGATAGCAGGTTAATTTCCGTGTTTCATGGAAGAGGGGGAACACACAGGAAAGTAAAACCTTCATTTTGAAGTCAAGTGAATCATTTCAGGTGAGTGCACAACGTTAGTGTTTGATTAGGGACCACACTATACCCTGCTGAAATTACACCACTGAGTATACTGTGTACAGTGTTGTAAGTGTACCGACTGACATATATGATTTGAGACAAAACAGTCTATGGCTGACTGAAATGAAACTGCACATTTCACTCACTCACTACCTTCATGAAATACATTATCTAAAAGAGGTTGAAAATACAAATTCACCTTTTGGTAGACAATCACCTTGGCGACCACTGTTGTGATTAAAATCGGTGTCAGGCAGGTGTACAGTGACACAAACAATTTTACAGCCTAAAATCAAAGATGGCGCCAGATATCTTCCTCTCTCCACCCAGCCCTGCTAATCAGCAGCAGTGCTGCGACTAGTGGCCGGAGGCTGTACAGCAGCTACAACTGATTAAAGCCACCCATACAACAACTGCAGGTCATGACTTGGGTCTGTGGATGCAGTTGGAAAACCAGTTCAAACCACTAATTAAGCCTGTCCATCAGTATAATGGAGTGCATAGACTGCCACTGTTTCTACTCTATAATCATCACAGAACTTGGCTTCATGCCCCACTTCAAGTCAATGGAAATAATGAGCAAAATTAGAGGATACTGCTGCCAGTAATGATAGTGAATATGCCATAAACATTTGCAACCCAACAAGGTCTGCGTAGATAGGTCTATCAAAAGGCCAACACACACACACACACACACACACACACACACACACACACACACACACACACACACACACACACACACACACACACACACACACACACACACAAACTCTC